TCTTTTATAACCTTTTGCTCATCCTTTTTAACCTCATTTTTCTCTACCATTTCAGCTTGCTTCATACTGATAAACTCGATGAGACTTTGAAGAGCAACTTGAGGCTCGTCACGTTTCATAAGATGTTGTGCGACTTCTGCTGGGGTAATAACAGGACTCTGAATGAGATCTTCTATGCATTTGAAAAGGACATGCTCTTTAATTCCAAGATATGTAAAGGCAAGCTTCCTGAATGCTGCGGGAGTACAATGGCCCATGTAAATATGAACATCCATTCGTCCCGGGCGCAACAATGCTGGGTCCAACTTCTCTTTGTAATTTGTCGTGAAAATGATTATTCTTTCATCCCCGCAGCTTGACCATAGCCCATCAATGAAGTTCAACAAACCAGATAAGGTCACCTGTGAGAAGATTTAAAGAGAAACATGAAATATGGAATTGGAAAACTAGGAGACAATAAGGCATCGCCTTGATTAAAGAATGTTTTCCTTCCAAATCTATTCTAGTTTTCTTTCTTTTTTTTTAAACAAATTTAATTTTTGATGACTTTACATAAGCATAACATCATGTTATTTATGAAGTCTAATTGGGAAGGATTGCAGTAAGTCCCGAATAAAATAAGCAGAGGGCATTAATTCTTTCAGGACTCACTTACCCCAGGATCAAAAGAAGGCTTATTATCAAGTCGATCACCCCCCTCATCATCATCATCATCATCATGATCTTCTTTTGGATTCTTATTTCGATCGCGAGAACTTGAAGATTTTGTACTGCAATCAATGTCCTCAATGAGAAGAATGGAACGATTGGTGGTGGAGGTAAGTATCCTCCTCAGTTGAGCATCATTTCTTACACCTTGAAGCTGAAGATCATAGATGTTGAATCTAAGATAGTTTGCAATGGCAGCGACAAGGGTGGATTTTCCAGTCCCTGGTGGACCGTAGAGAAGGTACCCTCTTTTCCAAGTTCTACCAACACTCTGAAAGTAGTCCTTTCTTTGCACAAACAAGTCGAGATCTTCAATTATAAACTTCTTCAGGTCAGGGTCCATTGCCAGAGTGTCAAAGGTAGCTGGATGCTTGAACACAGTAGATTCCCACATAGAATCCTCATTATCGTAAGTATAGATATTGAGGGTCTCTCTGTTGTTCAAGATTGCAGCTGCAGTCTTGCTAATATATGGCAAGTAGCTTTCCATGACCTGTTCTCTATAATTAATTTTGCATTTCAATTGGAAGAATTTTTTTTGGTGATGGTAAAATTTCTTTGCTTCTTTCTGACAGAGAGTCCATTCAAAATGCATACCTTGGAAATAATCAACAACTTTAACATCAACAGGAATCCCTGGTTTGGGTGGGGCAAAGATGTTGTTGGTATCATTGGTGCCTATGAGAAGGCTTTTAGTGGAAGGGCCAACTTTAGTTGGAAGATAGACCTCAACAGCTCGAAAGGTTTCATTCTCCACAGCTTGCCATCGGTCTTCAATGATGAAGGTGAAGTCTGAGGAGAAGTAGGTAGCAAAGAAATCTGAAAAGTTTTTAGCTATCAAGTCACGCATACCCCTTGGAATCATTTCATTCAATATGGTGCGGATTAGCATGGATAAACCAGATATGGATGCGTAAATAGAGAGGATTGTGCTCATGGAGGGCAATTCCTTCAAGAGAGACGCCATTTCGGATTTTGAAAAGCAAGCATAGAACGACGGAGGAGAGTTGGTGCTGAGAGTAGGTGAAGCCTCGTCACTTGTATGGAATGAGCAAGGTTATTCATAGACCAAAGAGGAATTATTGTCTAGATTTTGGAAGCGTCTACGAAAATGAGATCGAATTTCTTTGGTTTGTAAACGCGTGATAAGATGGGTGCTTCTTTTTCATGATAATCAGAGTCAGACATGTTTGTTGACTAAAATACCTCGTCTACAGCTAGGGGAGAGAGCACTGCTGTGCTTTGTTTGGAGAAACCTCATAGAATGTGCGAGGAAAGGAACAATACAGAAAACGCACGTGGAAAAAGGGTAATTAACTGAAGATGCAAAAATCAGAGTCAGACATGTTTGTTGACTAATAGGAACAATACAGAAAACGCTCGTGGAAAAAGGGTAATTAACTGAAGATGCAAAAGCAGTGTTGACATCTTATGGTGACCTCATTCACCCGTGATTAATGAGAAGAAGAGGAAATGGGCAAGAACCTTCCCTTCCTTTTCAGATAAGCTAGAGGGAATTGAATGGAAATTACCATCTTTTCAGATAAGCTAGAGGGAATTGAATGGAAATTAC